AGGAACCTCTCTGAAATTCAAATCTGATTACATCATGCCATGACTTACAGTGATTTTCATAGCTTTCATGATAAACATAAACTCTTGAACACCGAAGCATCTTAATGATATGACCCCTATTTATTTTTAGGTTCATCACCTGCCATTTGCCCAAACCACCCTAATGGCTACCATTTATTGAGCTGCTCTTTATGTGCCAGGCACTGTGCTAGGTGCTTTTCCTCATTTAAACCTCACAGCAACTTGTGATGGGTGAGGAAATTGAGGCACAGAGGTTAGGACACCTAACCAAAATAAGCCGCAGAACCAGCTCAAACTCCTGTGTGCGATATTCAAGTACAAGCCCTTAGGCAACTTCAGCATGCTTCAAAGTGCAGACTGGGAGCGCTTGCATCTGAATTTCCAGGATACTTGTTCAAATGTGGATTCCTGTTCTGTGTCCTGGACCTGATAAGTCAGACTCCCTGGGGCATTTTAAATGAGCTCTCTAGGCAAGGTATTAGGCACAGCATCACTGTCCCGTACTGTGTACTTCTGGCCACAAGTAACTCTTCCTGCAGTGTGCCATGCTGTTGCATTTCTCCACACCTTTGTCCATGCTTTGCCTCTCACTAGACCACCTCTGCCTCCTTGTCCTTTATCTTTCAAGACTCAGCCTGCGTGGTCCCTCTTCTAGAAAGCCTATAATCCCTTACACTGATTTTGAGGCCACTTCTCTCCAGTGCTCCCAGAGCTTTGACATCGAATAACCACTGGTTTACCCCCATCCTTTCACCAGAGCATGAGCTGTCCCTCCAGCTATACACCCCTCTCCATAGTGTATGCTGGCTAAGTGTCCATTAGATTCACTTCCAGCCTCTTTCACCTTCCTTCTCCATCCCTTTCCAGTAAGCCACTTGGTAAACATTACATTTTAATTGCTGTTTCAGTTAGGGGCGTTCAGCTGCAAATCACAGAAAGCCCAGCTTATAGTGGCCTGAGCAATAGACATTTCATTACCTCATGTCCCCAGGTAACTGAGTGAAAAAGCTGGCATCTTTGCTTCATATTGTCTCTGTCTCCTTTGCTGCTTAATATTTGGGTCAAAAATTCTGCTCCACCCTGCAGCCCTGAACATAGGCTTGTAAATCATCAAAGGAATTTTGCTCATAACTTAAAATGCAACCAGCCCCTTAACCCAAAAGTCTCCTCTGCCAAGGAGATAAAGAAGTGTGTACAAAATGAGGACTGGATTGTCAAGGACTTACTGGAACATTGTGGCCAGACCCACATCAAAGAAGTGGCTGTAGTCAACTAACCAAGGACAAGGAGTTTCACAACCTGTCTCAGATCTTTGCTGACATCCAGATGTCTGAGATTGATCATCGCCTCCTGTCCTCAAACTCCCTTCTGTTTCTGCCTTCCCTAAAATAAAAGAAGCTTGAAATCAACCCTAAGTTAAGATGGTTCTTTGAGACCTGAGTCTGCCATCTTCTCAATCTGCTGGCTTTCCAAATAAAGTTATTTTCCTTGTTCCAACACCTTGTCTCTCAACTTATTGGCATGTCGTGCAGCAAGCGGTGTGAGTTTGGACTTGGGCATACCTGGAGCTTGGAGGGGAGAGTTCCAGCTTGGGCACAAGGGCTCCTTTCTGCCCAGCAGGTTACAGATCCTTTCTTCTCTGCCTCTTGGAGAATGTTGCCTTTATTGTATAAAATGAACAACCACCTTTACTTGTTCTTAGATTAATGTTAATTTAATTTGCATATAACATGAATTCCACTAATCAATTAAGCTTAGGTAACTAAAAGATTGTAAACATTATTTTTTATTTATTATTTAATAAATAATTTAAAAGATTGTAAACATTTGTTAATATACATGATTGTCTTAAGCATTTCTAATGCTAAATAGACAAAGTTTTCTGAGCACCAAAGCCTCTCTTAGAAATCAAATTAAACCATGGTAAATTAAGTTGTTTTAATGATTCAATACTCTTCACTAACTTAATCAAATTCACACAAATTCACATGGCTTTCATGTAAAAAGCATCAGTCTGTAATCAAATACTTTAAATTGAAATCACAGAGCAAAAGTGACAAATACTCAATATGCCAGATTCTCCTTAACATAGAAGCTTGAAACAACGAATACATCAGATTGTCCTAATCTAATGTATTTTCTCATACTTCTTCATAATCATTTAAACTATATATTTTTTATGGTTATATGATTAAAAATTTTATACCATTCCCATCAAATTTAAGTGACCTCCTTAGAGATCTCCTTGGGAAAAATATAAATGGCAAATAAATAATAAATGTAAATAAAGTATCATTTTAAATATGTATCAAATTGCCAATACCCTAGAGAAACAGGTTGTCTTACTATTAGGAATATAAATTATTGTAAACTTTTGGAGGAAAATTTGGCAATTTAGCCCAAATTTTGAATTTTTTTTTCTTTGACAGAACATTTCCATATCTAAGAATCCTACAACAATACCTCCTTTCTGATCAATGATGTGTGTATAAAGATGCCCTCAGCAGCCTTGTTTGTAATAACAAAATATTAGAAACAACCTAAATGCCCACTAAGAGTCCACTGGTTAAACAAATGAGGCACATCACTTATGTATCACCATTGAAAGACGTCCAAGATTCAACACCTAGAATTGTCCCTACACAGTGAGTTCTCCATAAATGCAAATGAACAAATTGGTAAAGGGTCCAGGTAACTTGCTCTACTGTGTGTTGTGTTCATTCATTCCTACATTCTGTATTATGGGATTGTGATGGTGAGTCTGTTAGAAGATATAATCATTAATTTTTACAAATTTCAAGTGGGTAAAACTAAAGTGAGTTGTGAAGAAAAAGGAGTGTTACAAGGTTTGTACTTGGATGATTTGACTTACTCTAAGCAATCCAAAATAAAGGTATTTGTACATATGTACATATGTAGTACATGCATTGAAAAAGATTTGGTTGGATCTATGCCAGACCTAACAATGGATATGGGTTGTAATGGGATTAAGTTTGATTTCACACCGTCTACATAAGACATCTCTGAATTATTTGGAATTTTCTCACAATAAGCATGTATTGCTTTTATAACCAAGCAAAGCCCTAAGTATATGTATCTTAAATCCAAATAAATAGTTTTAACACTATATTGGTGATTCTCAAAGTGTTGCGGGAAGAAGGTTGAATTTACATGCTTGTTTGAGAGGGGAAAAAAGTGGTAGAGCTAGGGCTGCTGTGTTGGGCAGAATTCTAAAATGGCCCCCAGGATTCCTGCCCCCTAGTGCACTCACTTCCCGGTTATTCAAACACTTATGTAGGCATTGCTGTCAAGGGATTTTCTAGACAAAATTAAAGTCTGTAATCAATTGTCTTTAAATTAGGTAAATTATTGTAGGTGGTCCTGACTTAATCAGGTTAACCCTTAAAACAAGTCAGAGAGATGAAAGCAAGTAAGACACCTGCTTGCTTTGAAGTGACGAATGACCACATGTGTACTGTCCATCACAAGAACTGGAGGGTGGCCTCTAGCTGCCGAGAGCAGTCCTCATCAACAACCAGAAAGAAAGTGGGGGCTTCAGATACAAAAATCACAAAAAAATCTGGATCCTGCCAACAACCAGTGAGCTTGGAAGAAGATCCCAACCTTCAGATGAGATCACAGCCATGGCCAACATTGATTTCAGCTTGATGACACCCTGACCCACACTCGGACTCCTGATTCGCAGGAGCTGTGAGATAATAAATCTGTGTTAAGTTGCTAATTTTGTGGTAATTGTTACACAGCAATAGAAGATGAATATACTTAGTATAGGCAATCAGAATTGCTTGTAACCTGCAGCCTGTTGGACGTATCCTCAGCCTGATACCTAGGAGTTAAAAAAAAAAAGGTTGAGAGATGTCCTACTACCTGGTAAGAAACTAGGTAATTGAATAAAATTTGTGTCCAACACAGTTGTATTCCATTAATATCATCTTGCCCAGAAATTTTGTTTTCCTTATTGCTGCAAAGCAACTATACGATTGCCTTGAAAACAACCTTTTCAGAAATATTTTCAGCAGTCTTTCCTTTAGGGATGTAACTAATGTATATAGTCCACAAGCATTTCTGCCCCTCTCTCAGCAGTAATTGTTACCCTATAGAGCTTGTGGGAGTGCTTTTTGCATTAGGCTTTCAACAGGTTGACCATGATCAATCTTGAAAGCCGGAAATAGTTCCCCATCTCACTACACATTAGGATCATCTGGAGAACCTTAAAAAATACTGATTCCCAGGCTCCTGCCCCAGATCCATTGAGTCAGAATTTCTAGGGTTGGGCCCAGACGTTAGTATTTTCAAGAAACTCCCTGGCAATTCTGATGCGCAGCCTGGAGTTTACAGCAGGACTTCTCCAGATATTTTGTGCTTAAAGTCATCAGGGATCTCATTAAAATGCTGATGCAGTCCAGGTCCAGGGCCTGGGGTTCTGCTGCAGCTGGTTCTCTGGCAGTACTCTGAGTAGCAAGAGTTACGGGATTGCCCTGCAGCCATGTAGCCTGGTCGGGTGCTCTTAACCTTACGCCCATCCCCATGGCTGCAAGGGGCTGCTGCTTTTTCATTCTACTCTTCCACCACAGTCCCCTCTTCTCCCTTTTCTCCCCTTCCCTCCCTGTATGCTACTGGTGCCTTCCCTTAGCCTCCTATCCATTCTCCTCCTCCTTTTATTCTTGTAGTTATCATAATTTGAGGGCAAAATCTAATGTTGCACCTTTGGGAAAAGAGGCTTAAACTTAGATAAAGCCTTGCTTGACTTTTCCTGCAAGAGAACAGTTGTCTCTTGTCCTTCTGAAATAAGGCAGTTCACATTAATTATTAACCTGTAATGGCCAGTTGATTTTGATTTCTGTAAACCACCAACCAAAATAAACTTCGTGAGTGTTTATTCAGAGAAAGGAAATTACATCACAAACTGCAATGGAGTATGGAATTGAGGATTTTTTTTCCCTCTCCATTCCCTTTAGAGTATGAAGCTGAGCTGCCTCCCTTTCCAGAGGAATATAAAGTCAAACAAGCAGCTATGATTACTGTGAGTATCACCCCTGCTTCAGCCTAAATGAAAGGCTCTGACCTGGGAACAGCACTGATGGCCGGTGAATATCAGACAGTGCGCTGAGTCAGGAGGTGGGAAAGGGGAGGCGCTGGAATTTGGGCCAGTCCTGGCTCTCCTACCCAGGGTGTGGCTTAAAGGGCATCACATAACCTCTTTGAGCCTCAGTTTCTACATCTTTTAAATGGAACAGATAACCCTTGTATAAATCACAGGGCCTCTGGGGGCTCAGATGGCATCCTGGATGAGAAGACCTTTACAGTGGAGCTGACACCACACCTATGTTAGGGACAGTTGCAGACAGAGTGGATTTCTCCAGTCATGCCAAGATGGGCAAGATGAACACTGTGTCAAAGAAAGAGGGCCAAGGACAGGGCGGCCAGGAAGGGAGGCCCTGAGACAGTAATCTTGGAGTAAAATAGGGACTTCATGAAGTTTAAAAAAAGCAGGGCTCTGAGAGACTCAAGGACTCACACAGGGTCACAGTAAAGGGACCAAAACCTGTCATTAGACTTTTGGTACATTACTGCAGCTGCCACTGTTAGTGATTCTTGTGTCTAGAACTTTCTAGACCTGTGATGATTCTTTTTTCATAGCACCCTGTTCTTGCTTTATGGATGCTCTTTCAAATTCTCTGCAGATACTAATTACTGTTTCCGTCCCTGAATTATTCATGCTTCTTCCAGGGTCAGCTGTTCTTTATAGGTCTTTCTCATTGCCTTTTATGCTGTTGATGTTCTTTATCTGTGTATGGAGCTTGGTTTATCCAAAATTTAAATGGGGGGCCTGAGTGGATTTTTCTACATAGCTGGTATGGTTTTCTTCTGTTGTACATGTGGGCTTGTTTTCTGGTCTCTCTGAGGAGAAGCACTGATGGGGAGCTCAAGGGGAATGACTGTCCACTGGGAGACTTTACTTCAGGATCAGTGGGCAGGGAGCCTCCAAATCAATGGTGAAGTCTTTGTTGTTCCTTTTGGCTACCAGCATGGCACACTGAGTAGTTTAATTTGCTTCTAGAAGAGTCACTGGGAAGGAGGGAGAGCTGGATATACAATGCTGGTGTGGCCATAGCTTTTATATATTGAAGAGAGCAGGAGTGGGAGGAGGGGGGTGTGGACACTCAGCTAGCAGAGCCCCAGCCCCTTTCCCTCCTGTTGTCATTGCCTTTCTCATTCCCACCCTCAGAGTGGTTGAGCCCTGAGCATCGAAGCCCTTTATAATTCTGTAGATGGTGAAGCCCATCCTCTGGGGCAGTTTCCTCTCATGGATCCTGGGCTGCCATTTCCCTCCTCTCTTACAGGGCAACAGGCTTCATCTCTGTTTCTTTTGGAAATGTCTGCAAATCTCCCGTCCACTGATGCTCCCCCTCCTCTTTTCTCTATTAGGGGCTTATTTCTGGGTTGCCATTTATAGGTTTCTCAGGAGGGAATAGAGACAAAGATTTGTGCTCATTATGCCCCTTGAACCTAAAGGCTGATACAGAATTTTATCCTTTTCTAGATTATGAAAGAAAATACAATTGTGTAAACTATTCATATGCACTGATTCTCTCCCCCACCCCCGACCAGGTTTCACCACTCAGGGAAACCAGTGTTGACACAGAACGCCTTTATGCAGTTCCTCGTTCGGCTGTGGGCTCACCTGCTCCCTGTCCTCGAGTTAAATCTGAAACAGTTAATCCAAAAACATGTAAGTAAGGAAGTAAGATTTCTTCTTTTAAGTTTTGGAGCTTGTAACATAGCAAAACCACAGGGTGGGGATGGAGTACACAGAGAGACCTTAGGGTGATCCCATAAGAAAGAATGTGTTCTTGTTTTAATTTTAATTTTTAAGAGAAGTACCATTTATTCACTGATTGGTCTTTAAGGGTGAAATGTAATAAAGATGATAAATAACAACAAATGTACTTTGATTCTACATTAAATACAAAGGGAGAAACACCTAAGAAATGGAAGAAAATGTCATGCTGCCAGCGTTTAACCAGAGGTGTAGGCTCTTGACACCTTCCTCCCTGAGCCCCAGTTCCTCGGGCTGTGCCCAGTGCCAGGCCCTTGCTTGCTGCTCTGTTCTGTTCTCTCTGCTCATGCACTTTGGGCCTTGGCAGCCACCGCCACCACCACCACTCGGCTGCAAGGCCCTGCACACTGTACCCCCACCCTGTTCCTCTCTGGCCTCTCTTCCTACCACGCTCCACTTGCCTGTTTCCCTCCAACCACTCTGGCCTCCTTGCTGTGCCTCTGGCTCTGGCCGTGTGCAGAGCTTGGCCTACATCCTCACCAGACTGCAGAGGCTCACAGGGATATTTTAAGTTCCTTTAATAATAGAGCTCGGCTCAGCTCTCTGAAGGAAAATGTAACATTTAAGGTCATGTTATTTCATGGACAGTACCTTTTTTTGGTTCTGAAGCAAATGATTCTCCCAGATTAACTTGGGCCACTAGGGATTTTCAGTGGGGGTTGTCTTGTTTGTTTTAGGTCCCCCCAAAGAATATTTGGAAATGTTCATTTTTCCAGTGCTGCTCCCTGGAATGGCTAGCCTGCTTCACCAAGCAAAGAAAGGAAAATGTTTTGAGGTTAGTTGCTTTGGAGGGTTTCTTTATTTCCAAATGTGCAGTAATCCATTTTCTTCAGATGGTAGCTCACTATCTCAGCACTATCCAGTGGTTGTCCTCAGAATGATCCCGCTGAGAGGGAAAGTCTATGTTTGCTTACTTACCTAACTCCAGCCACTGCGCAGCCATCTGTCTGGCTGCTGTGCACTGGAGAGGTTTTCTGCCTTGCTTGGCCTCCTTGCCACCCTTCTCCCAGGCAGGTGGCATCTACCAAGTGTCTTGAGTCTCCTGCTCCTGTTTCTTGCATGTGCAGATGAAAGCTGTCCTGGCCTCTTATCTAGCTTTGGATTGACCTTTGCCTCTGGCCTCCCCCTGCTCTACATCATGCCAAATGCCATGCATGTCACTTGCTTTGGGAGAGGCCTGGCACACAGTGAGCACTCAGCAGATACTGCTTATTATCACCCTGAAGCCAGCTGTCTGTGCGACGTGCGGTACAGACTGGTTGTTCTGATTGAACCAGGAAGAACCACAGTGTTTAGATGTCCATTTTCATTAACACAATAAGGCATTCTGCTGAAGGAGACTGTAACCAGAAGGAGCTGGTAAAGTAAACGTCAGCACTTTAGGTCCTGACTCTCCAGCCCAGGTCACAGCTCTGCTCTCCCCTGTGGTTTGACCGCTGCTATAACAGTAAGAGTATTCCTGGTCAGAGAGGCTGTTGCCCTGAGTAGTTGTCCATACATTGGCACTGGTCGAAGTATCGGGTGCTCTTAACCTTACGCCCATCCCCATGGCTGCAAGGGGCTGCTGCTTTTTCATTCTACTCTTCCACCACAGTCCCCTCTTCTCCCTTTTCTCCCCTTCCCTCCCTGTATGCTACTGGTGCCTTCCCTTAGCCTCCTATCCATTCTCCTCCTCCTTTTATTCTTGTAGTTATCATAATTTGAGGGCAAAATCTAATGTTGCACCTTTGGGAAAAGAGGCTTAAACTTAGATAAAGCCTTGCTTGACTTTTCCTGCAAGAGAACAGTTGTCTCTTGTCCTTCTGAAATAAGGCAGTTCACATTAATTATTAACCTGTAATGGCCAGTTGATTTTGATTTCTGTAAACCACCAACCAAAATAAACTTCGTGAGTGTTTATTCAGAGAAAGGAAATTACATCACAAACTGCAATGGAGTATGGAATTGAGGATTTTTTTTCCCTCTCCATTCCCTTTAGAGTATGAAGCTGAGCTGCCTCCCTTTCCAGAGGAATATAAAGTCAAACAAGCAGCTATGATTACTGTGAGTATCACCCCTGCTTCAGCCTAAATGAAAGGCTCTGACCTGGGAACAGCACTGATGGCCGGTGAATATCAGACAGTGCGCTGAGTCAGGAGGTGGGAAAGGGGAGGCGCTGGAATTTGGGCCAGTCCTGGCTCTCCTACCCAGGGTGTGGCTTAAAGGGCATCACATAACCTCTTTGAGCCTCAGTTTCTACATCTTTTAAATGGAACAGATAACCCTTGTATAAATCACAGGGCCTCTGGGGGCTCAGATGGCATCCTGGATGAGAAGACCTTTACAGTGGAGCTGACACCACACCTATGTTAGGGACAGTTGCAGACAGAGTGGATTTCTCCAGTCATGCCAAGATGGGCAAGATGAACACTGTGTCAAAGAAAGAGGGCCAAGGACAGGGCGGCCAGGAAGGGAGGCCCTGAGACAGTAATCTTGGAGTAAAATAGGGACTTCATGAAGTTTAAAAAAAGCAGGGCTCTGAGAGACTCAAGGACTCACACAGGGTCACAGTAAAGGGACCAAAACCTGTCATTAGACTTTTGGTACATTACTGCAGCTGCCACTGTTAGTGATTCTTGTGTCTAGAACTTTCTAGACCTGTGATGATTCTTTTTTCATAGCACCCTGTTCTTGCTTTATGGATGCTCTTTCAAATTCTCTGCAGATACTAATTACTGTTTCCGTCCCTGAATTATTCATGCTTCTTCCAGGGTCAGCTGTTCTTTATAGGTCTTTCTCATTGCCTTTTATGCTGTTGATGTTCTTTATCTGTGTATGGAGCTTGGTTTATCCAAAATTTAAATGGGGGGCCTGAGTGGATTTTTCTACATAGCTGGTATGGTTTTCTTCTGTTGTACATGTGGGCTTGTTTTCTGGTCTCTCTGAGGAGAAGCACTGATGGGGAGCTCAAGGGGAATGACTGTCCACTGGGAGACTTTACTTCAGGATCAGTGGGCAGGGAGCCTCCAAATCAATGGTGAAGTCTTTGTTGTTCCTTTTGGCTACCAGCATGGCACACTGAGTAGTTTAATTTGCTTCTAGAAGAGTCACTGGGAAGGAGGGAGAGCTGGATATACAATGCTGGTGTGGCCATAGCTTTTATATATTGAAGAGAGCAGGAGTGGGAGGAGGGGGGTGTGGACACTCAGCTAGCAGAGCCCCAGCCCCTTTCCCTCCTGTTGTCATTGCCTTTCTCATTCCCACCCTCAGAGTGGTTGAGCCCTGAGCATCGAAGCCCTTTATAATTCTGTAGATGGTGAAGCCCATCCTCTGGGGCAGTTTCCTCTCATGGATCCTGGGCTGCCATTTCCCTCCTCTCTTACAGGGCAACAGGCTTCATCTCTGTTTCTTTTGGAAATGTCTGCAAATCTCCCGTCCACTGATGCTCCCCCTCCTCTTTTCTCTATTAGGGGTTTATTTCTGGGTTGCCATTTATAGGTTTCTCAGGAGGGAATAGAGACAAAGATTTGTGCTCATTATGCCCCTTGAACCTAAAGGCTGATACAGAATTTTATCCTTTTCTAGATTATGAAAGAAAATACAATTGTGTAAACTATTCATATGCACTGATTCTCTCCCCCACCCCCGACCAGGTTTCACCACTCAGGGAAACCAGTGTTGACACAGAACGCCTTTATGCAGTTCCTCGTTCGGCTGTGGGCTCACCTGCTCCCTGTCCTCGAGTTAAATCTGAAACAGTTAATCCAAAAACATGTAAGTAAGGAAGTAAGATTTCTTCTTTTAAGTTTTGGAGCTTGTAACATAGCAAAACCACAGGGTGGGGATGGAGTACACAGAGAGACCTTAGGGTGATCCCATAAGAAAGAATGTGTTCTTGTTTTAATTTTAATTTTTAAGAGAAGTACCATTTATTCACTGATTGGTCTTTAAGGGTGAAATGTAATAAAGATGATAAATAACAACAAATGTACTTTGATTCTACATTAAATACAAAGGGAGAAACACCTAAGAAATGGAAGAAAATGTCATGCTGCCAGCGTTTAACCAGAGGTGTAGGCTCTTGACACCTTCCTCCCTGAGCCCCAGTTCCTCGGGCTGTGCCCAGTGCCAGGCCCTTGCTTGCTGCTCTGTTCTGTTCTCTCTGCTCATGCACTTTGGGCCTTGGCAGCCACCGCCACCACCACCACTCGGCTGCAAGGCCCTGCACACTGTACCCCCACCCTGTTCCTCTCTGGCCTCTCTTCCTACCACGCTCCACTTGCCTGTTTCCCTCCAACCACTCTGGCCTCCTTGCTGTGCCTCTGGCTCTGGCCGTGTGCAGAGCTTGGCCTACATCCTCACCAGACTGCAGAGGCTCACAGGGATATTTTAAGTTCCTTTAATAATAGAGCTCGGCTCAGCTCTCTGAAGGAAAATGTAACATTTAAGGTCATGTTATTTCATGGACAGTACCTTTTTTTGGTTCTGAAGCAAATGATTCTCCCAGATTAACTTGGGCCACTAGGGATTTTCAGTGGGGGTTGTCTTGTTTGTTTTAGGTCCCCCCAAAGAATATTTGGAAATGTTCATTTTTCCAGTGCTGCTCCCTGGAATGGCTAGCCTGCTTCACCAAGCAAAGAAAGGAAAATGTTTTGAGGTTAGTTGCTTTGGAGGGTTTCTTTATTTCCAAATGTGCAGTAATCCATTTTCTTCAGATGGTAGCTCACTATCTCAGCACTATCCAGTGGTTGTCCTCAGAATGATCCCGCTGAGAGGGAAAGTCTATGTTTGCTTACTTACCTAACTCCAGCCACTGTGCAGCCATCTGTCTGGCTGCTGTGCACTGGAGAGGTTTTCTGCCTTGCTTGGCCTCCTTGCCACCCTTCTCCCAGGCAGGTGGCATCTACCAAGTGTCTTGAGTCTCCTGCTCCTGTTTCTTGCATGTGCAGATGAAAGCTGTCCTGGCCTCTTATCTAGCTTTGGATTGACCTTTGCCTCTGGCCTCCCCCTGCTCTACATCATGCCAAATGCCATGCATGTCACTTGCTTTGGGAGAGGCCTGGCACACAGTGAGCACTCAGCAGATACTGCTTATTATCACCCTGAAGCCAGCTGTCTGTGCGACGTGCGGTACAGACTGGTTGTTCTGATTGAACCAGGAAGAACCACAGTGTTTAGATGTCCATTTTCATTAACACAATAAGGCATTCTGCTGAAGGAGACTGTAACCAGAAGGAGCTGGTAAAGTAAACGTCAGCACTTTAGGTCCTGACTCTCCAGCCCAGGTCACAGCTCTGCTCTCCCCTGTGGTTTGACCGCTGCTATAACAGTAAGAGTATTCCTGGTCAGAGAGGCTGTTGCCCTGAGTAGTTGTCCATACATTGGCACTGGTCGAAGTGCTTTAGATGACTTGTATCATTTCATTCTTCCTATCATCCTCTCAGCCAGATCCCTTTTTACAGAGGATGCCCCTGGAACTCAGAGGAGTTGAACATTCCCTAAGTTCACCTAGCTAGTAAGCTATGGAGCACATCATCCACCAAAGCCCAGATGGTCCTAGAGCCCTTCATCCCTCCCCCAAAATGGGACTTGTTGGACATCCTCTAAATAGCTCCAGGAAATACTGATCATTTTCATTCATAGCTTTTTCTGGAGAACAGATTGTTACTTGCCTTACATGGCTTCTAATCCTTGTGTATTTTTCATTTCCTCATTTGGCTTCCCCTGAGGAATTAATTCTTGTCCCCTATTTGGGATTGACCTTCCCCTCTTCCCTGTGGCATTAAACAGGTGCAA